TCTCATGCATACTGGCGCCAGCGTGTTGAGGACACTGGATCCGGCGAACAGGGAAGAGGGGGAGGGATATTCTCACGGCGGGCATGCGTTTGGCTACTCTTTATGGCTCCTTAGGGCGTGGTTTCGGGTGACATGCGATTCTCTCGTGCAGTCGACCAAGGTAGGCAAACTGTTTCTGCCAACGCCACCCGAAACCTCGCCCTAAGAATCTACAGAGAGTAGTCAAACGTATGCCCGCCGTGAGAATATTCCTCCGCCTCTTACCTGTTCGCCGGATCCAGTGTCCTCAACACGCTGGCGCCAGTATGCATGAGACGAGGGGAAACCGAGATGACTAATTCTACACACCCCCTACCCCGAGGATCATTTAAAGACTGCTTATAACTGACTGTTTTAATCCCTGCAAATGTATTGACCTGATGACGAATTGCTGAAATACCAGTAAGTCTACCGATGACTGGTGTGACGTAAGCTTGCAGCTACGCGTGCCACATGATCGGGATTTGCTATGGAAACGCAACCCGAATAACGTGTGTCGTGCTCAGATCTAACCTCGTGTTGCACCAGAGCACATGGTGAACCTCGTCGGATGCGATGGTCCAACTATCAGGTAACCATCGCCAAGAACATAAAGTCCCCCCCTCCCCTGCCCCGCCTTACAGGGAGGGGAGGGGGCATTGCAAGAAGAATAAACTCACAAGATATCCCACTGTTGCATCAGGAGGCGGAGCTAAAAGGCGATCCATAACCGGCCGATCAAAACTCAGGCGGTATTCTGAGTTTCCAAAGGCGTAGGAAGCCTCAAATGAGACGTCGACAGCCTAACCAGCAGGCATTAGATAAAGGGCATTAGGGAAGAGTACTTGCCTCGGAGAATGGCATGTGCATGCTAAGTAAGTCGGCATACTTTGATTCAACGTCCGGATCTACGAGAAAGAGAGAGAGAGAGCAACATAAAATCAAAGCGTTAACATACTCTGTTCGGTCCTTACACGAAGAATTCGACGTTCTATTGGTGAAGGACCCTGGGTCATTCCAAAAGCAGTCACAGTGCCACCAACATCTAGGCCAAACAGCATATTCATGTCGTACTTGTAAAGTTGGGACCTAGGCGGCGGATTAAGTACTGCCAAGGTACACTTACGAGAAATCTTCAGTAGGTATGATTTTAAGGTCAGTATAGTCAATGAGTGCTGATGCCTCAGGCTCCGTCACCGAGGTAATATCTGCATCTGCCATGGTGAGGTTGCAGATCTCCTGCAGGGGCAGAGGAGTACCAGCTAGCTGCAGTGAGCTGTCCAGATCAGCAGGCTGGGCAAATTTCTCATTTTGTTGATCGTCCTGGGGTCTGGTTTTGTGCTACACGACAAAACAATGGCTAATTTAAGGCATATGGCTTGCTACCAGTAAGCTTAGATCCCAAATCATAAAAATAGCCCACCTCAGCTTCAGCGGTAGCCAACGAAAAGTCCAAACCAAACTGAGATTTGATAAACTGCAGCATTCCTGACCACGCAGAGTTCTATAAAAGAAATTTACAAAAATGCAACCGTATAGACCCAAGAATAAAACGCAAAACTATAATACTACTAGCTGTATTTCAGTAACATTTGCATATGCTAATATATTTATGAAAACCTATGGTTTACGCTATCCCACCACAAATACCATGCGAGGGTCTCCGCGGTCTTTCCTACTTGACTATCTGCACACCATGATGACCCCGTCAGCGATCGCACAAGCCAAACCTGGCGGCCCCTAAACGTTCTCCCTTGGTTCGACCCGCAGCGGACTGTCGACGATCTGGACGGATATTTCTGTTTTTCTTACCTTGTCGGCGGACTCTGCAATCAGTAAAAAGTATCAGGACGCATCTTCCACACTCCGTGATGATCCCGGTGACC